TTCAAAACTGCACCACTCAGATGTGTCTCCCTTTAGGATGCTAAAAAACATGCTACACACACTTTTCCATGGGTTTTACAGTACTGCCTGGTCAGAGAAAGGCTTTGCTTTTACACAAAGCCACTGACTGAAGTGGACAATCAGATCTGCAAAACAAAAGATTCAGAGAAGGGTTTAAGAAAGCAGTGCCAGGAAAACTTAGATCTAACTGTCACTCAGCTGGTACCCTTTTCACCACATCCATCTTGGTCCATTCTTTTCTGATCTGTACCATCAAACCTACATAAAAACAGAAATGATGTAGCCCGTCTAAAGTTGTTTATCTAGATAGCTGTTTTGGTTGCTCTGTGGTAATTAAGAAATAGCCTGCCATTGAGCTAAAACATTAGTAACAGTAACAACCCAGATTGGCTGATTCTTGATATTTTAGCATCAATACAACTGGTCAGCAAATGCAGGCTAGAGGACATTTGCATTGTTGAGGTGACAAGTGCTAAAAGTAGCGGAGATAAAAAAGACCATGGGGTCATCTCTATCTGAGGGACCCGACCCTTTTGAAAGGACGAGTTATTCCTATATAGATGCATTGGGCTCAGACCACTGTGTGAGACCAGGGCTGCTGAAGACTCTCAGATCTTTGACATGTTAAAGTTCCCACCTTCCTAGCTAATGTTCAACAGTGTTTTACTCATTTGGGGCCATTCAAAATTATATATTTTATATTTGATGGATCAAGATGATAAAGAAGGGGGTTGAGCCCTTTTGGGCACTCGCGATATTTAACACGACTAACACTACAATAGTCACTGCACTTTGAATTAGCTCTTTATTTTAAATCTCTATTTTCAATTTGAAGTCAGCTCTACTTTGCAGTTTTCCAGCTTCCACAACAAGGCCATAAGGAGCTGGGGTAGGTGACACCTCTGTAGCTGCTTTCAACCTGAGTCATGCTTACATATTTTACCAACAGTGGCCACTACTTTTAGTTATGAATTTCAAACAGTGAGAGGATGGCATACACTACCTGATTATCAGTTACACTGAACTGTTACGTGGGACAGGAAAAGGGTTTTGTATCTAACTGAATATATAAGGGAAATGCATGGTGAGCAAGCTGAAATTAGTGTCCCAGCCCAGAACATACCAGCGTACCATTTAATATCCCTATTTATGCGTGACACATGACTCGTGTCCAATACCTGCATTCTGCCTACCCTGGTAAGGGGTGTCCGTTCACAGCCTTCTCTTCACGAATCCTAGATCTTCCCAAAAGTCTTTTCCAGACAGTAATCCAATTAGACCAGTCCTAAAAGAGCTGACAAAATCACACTGTAGAATAAGAACACATTTTTTTCCCTAAATTTGGCTCTAATTTTGCTTTGAGTAAACAGTCTAAGTTATGGGTAATAGCAATCGTTAAATTAAATTAAAGGTCGTTAATCACCATCATCATCTGTTCAATTAATACTTTGGATTTTCAGTCACTGCACTAGCTAATCCAAACCTTTTGTGTAAGGCACCACAACGGACACGTGCTTCACCTCAAAGGAGTCATTTTTTTTCTCTAGTTATGAACAGGATAGACAATTCAACCATTTGCATTGTTGCTCAATTGTGTAAGTGGATACTTGCTGATCTCTTGATTTTTAGCTTGGAAAGACAATTTTAACAATTGTAGCATGCTTTCTTGGAACAGAGTGGTTGGTTTCCCTTTTCTATCCCCCCAGGAAGCATACAATCTTCATACTGTTAGTCTTGGAAACCACCAACAAAGGGACAAATTGGAGGCATTTAGTTCCACTTTTGTCCTGACATTTTCTGTAAGTATTTTCGTGCCCACTAACAGCTTTCCGTTCCAAAGTAGATGTTCTCTCTTCCATCTCAGTAACCCTGTCGCTTAAATTTGAAGGGCCATTTTTATTCCTGTTAGATCTTCTGACATGTACTGCAGTTCTTACAGTATTTTTTCCCCTCCACTGATGCCACTAATGACATTTACATTTCTGTGTCATCTACTAATGCAGTTTTCCTTTCTCTGAAGGACTGTTGATGAATACAGCTACAGCTAATTGCTATTCCCAAGCAACATAGTTTGTTTTTCAGCAAAAGACCAATTTCCAACCCAACAGGAAATCTTAAGACTATTCAAATGTATGAGGGGAGGTGAAGGAAGGTGTGGGAGCATTATTTACCAACATAACCCTGCTTATAACATAACCTTTACAATATTTTAGCTATGTGGGACAGACTGGCTGAAGGTTAACCATTTCCCTTCATCCAGAATTTAGCAGAGGGGTAAAAAAGGCTTTATTCATTCTAATGTGAGGACATAAAAGCTGTGTATCTGAATAACAGCAGATGGAAACAAGCAGTAAATTCCCACTCCAGAAAATACAAGCCGAGAAGCTACAGTCATTGCTCACCCTGCTAAATCCTGCACAGTGACAAAAGTGGAAGTTAACTTGTGCTGAAATCTAACTGGAAGGTTTTGATTTTTAAGTCTTTCAGTCAAGATGGAGGGTATTCCTAACAGAGTCCAAATTATTCATGTTTCAGCCCACTCAGCAACAGGTGAGAGGCTCAACGTGGATTTTACTGGGCACGTTTCTGGAGGACAAGTTCAAACGATGATCATGGTCCATTACAAACTTAATCTCAAAACGAGGCCATTGCCACCAACTTAAACACCTCTCCCCAGTATGTGTAATTCTGCTCCCACACTTACTCTTCCTACAAATTAAGACAGCAAAGGCTATCACTTGACACCTTCTTTATGAACAAACTGTCCTGTAAGGCAGGAGTTGTGCCCATTAATGAGAGGGCATTCTCGAGTTTGCTCTCTGCAAGGTAACTTGGAAATCTACAACATAGAGGTGCTTTGTTCATGTTGTACTGTAGGGAGGATGAATAAAAACCAGGCCTTTTCATGGCTGAAAGATGAGGGGTGTTTGGGTGTTTTCTAAAACCGCTTCTCTGAGCTTTCCAAATTTCTAGCATGAGGAAAAGGAATCATGTTAATGGGAAAACTTACAGAAACCACGGTTTCACAATTTAGTTCAGAATGTCCTATTTTATTCTCCTAATTCCCTTGGACACTTTCTGGTATCACTCCTTTTTATCTCCCAGTATCTCTGCCCCAGGTGAAAGCACTTACTCCTTTATGTCACTGGCACATTAAGTGTTGAAGCAACCTGCCTGAAAATGCTGCTGCTCATAAGGCTCCTCCGGCTTTTCCACATTCCCACACATTTCAGATTCTTTCCTGTATTCATTCAGACGGTGGGGCTTACTTTAAATTACCATCACCCATGTAGCCATATGTTTGGGTTAATACCTAGACTGTAGTCTTCATTGCACTGGCCTGATTACCTTGTATAAACAATGCACGCCTTACGACGACTGCGCCCTTGAAGAAGACGACTGATAAAAGGGGAACGTCCTGCCCTAGAAGGCGTCAGAGGCTAGATGATTGCCAAAGAAACAAGAAGTCAGCAAAAAACTGCGGTAACTAGGGGAAAGGTAAAGGCGGCAGGGGGAGATCGCGACCACCGACTCAATGCAAG